GTCCGATTGGTGGCGTAAACATAGTAGTGCACTGCTTCTCTCTTCTTGTAAGCAACGTCCTTGTTACTCTCCCTGGTCCATCTCTCGCACCAGTCATCACAGCATCGCTGGTGCTGCAAGGAAGCACCTGCGAGCCAGTCGCCACGAGACTGAGAAACTGTACTTCCCTCTCTCAGCGGATCCATTGGAGTTGCAGTTATGTTTGGTCTAAGAGCTTAAATCGAAATACAACTTTTGTTTGCCATCAACTGCATTGAGTGATAAACGTTGATGTACTTGTAAAACACAGATTTATAACAAGGAATCAAGGAACAATCACAGCCCTGCATGTAAGGGACTTCAGAGTTGCGTTGTCGCCGACAGCGATAATTTTAGACCACGTGGTTTCACGTCCCATCCTCCTGGCTGAAACTCTCATTCCATTGGGGACGCCCAGAATTCACCGTCCAGTCGACATAGCGGCAGATAAACGTCAAGACCTTCACTTTCGACCTCCTTGGTTGTCGCGTAGCAGATGGTCGATATAAAATTGTTGACGTCGCACTCCTCTGCCCGCTATCTTAAAACCCAGGAGGTTCCATTTCTCCTTCTCCTGCTTTGGTACGGACCCCGGGCAAAGTCTAGGCTAAATCATGCATGTTCCTTTTTAAATCTGGCGCAACCAGACCTTTTCGAAATCCACAAGCTTTACTGTCGCCTTCCATTGAGGTTTGGATGTGCTCTCCCACTACAAAATTACGCTCTTCAGGAGGAAGAGAGGTGTTGTTTAAGGGCAATTTCTTCCTAACGGTCACGACAGGAATGGGGAGCTGGCCAGCAAATTGCACGTTACGTCCCGATCCTGTCTCGGGTGGGATTTTAGGAGCAGAATTCCTACAAAAGACTCAAGCCATGATGATTTTTGCAGAAGGCACATTTACAACTCAAGAAAACCATGAGGCGAGTGTCTCAGTCTCTCACTCCCCAAAATATGCGGAGCACATATACAGTTCGCCTTTCGCTGCAACAGCCGTTCCGTAACCAGTTTAAGTGATGTCTGCTCAGAGCTAACACAAGTTACGAATAGTGAAATAGAGGAGTTACACTCACTGCTTAACAAGTACTCAGGCATGTTCACCCGGAAGAGGACGATTAGGGACCAAGTAACACCGTTAACCACACGATCGATACCGGGGAGGCAAACGCAAAGGCGCATTTCGCGTCACCTTTAACACGATTTACACCAGATTATTAAAGAGAAGCGTCATGACGGCTTCATTTGTCCCTCCAAACCACTCTAGGCTTTCTCCATCTCATTTTTATAGAAGAGTGAGAGTCTGCGATGACAACTAAAGACGCAATGGACATTAGACTCGCAACAAAGGACCAAGTGGGTTTCCCCATTCGACTTGGAATCTGACCATTGGCTAGTGGGGGTAGCGGAGCAAGATAGAATACCAACGGCACTCATTGTATTAAATGGTTGAAACTCTGCCAATGACTAATACAGACAGCTCCCCGCCGTCTCCGCTCAAGATACTGCATTATCTACTTTGATGGCGTTCTTACCTTTGATAGGAATATCCAACTGCATAACTATAATTTATAACTAGTGGTTCATCGGCTTCGAGGAGTCGGTTTGACATTTAAACCAAAGATTTGCTACTTTCTTCGGAGATCTGTCACCTTCTTCTACCTCACTGTCGCCGCCAGGAGATGACTGTCATGGAAGGTCGTTATAAACAAGTGTGAACTTGACCAACGCCCACAAATCAAACAGAGCTCCGCATTTTTCTCGAGTTGGCGAATCATTACCAGCATTTCGTCAAAGGTTTTGCTAAAAACCATAGTCCACTACACAAGCTAACAGAGAAGCAAGCTGGAAATGAGATCCATTGGGAAACCGAATACACGAAAGCGTCTAAGACGTTGAAGGGCACTCTCCTCCTCTTGTTTTAGACACAAATACGAGGGATTTAGCGGTGAACGGTGTACCTTCTCAAAGGCACTTAGGAGGGAGAGTATGAAATCGTCTACGCCGATTCTCAGTTAAAAAAGAACATGCTATAGGAGAACGCAACGCAACGAGAACTGTCTGTCTTCATTGTGTGTACACATCACCTGAGTCTGACGTGGTAGAAGACGATGAAATAGACTGTTTAGTTACTTTGGTGGTATAAGGAATAACAGCAGCATGATTTTATTGTGAAGAGCAGGAAGGAGAGCCGTCATGGTAATACAACCTCAGTGTTTTGCAGACCTTCCAGGCCGAGTGAAGATGGCACTGCAATGAATACACACAGAGTGCTGATCCAGACACGGCCCCTATACTTGAGAAGCTAAGGACAGCCTCAGCTAGGCCCACAATGAAGGGGATAAGCCCGGCTAGCAAGAAAGCTACAAAAAATACCGCAAAATTGGAAGAAACTCTTACCAGAAAGTGACATCATATGGTGTGGTGACAATGCTACGAGTCTCAAACGCCTCATAGTTCCAGGCTCGCTAACACAAACGGTTCTACTGGGTCATGTGGGCGAAAAGAAGACGGTGGAGACCGTGAATGAGAGGCAACGGCAGACCCTTCTTCCCTATGATATCTCAGATAATGTCGTACATGTGTCGCATACATCAACTTTAGGAGACCTTAGCGCATCACGATCGCACTTATTTAGTCTATGCATACGGGGTTACCGGAGGAGAGAGCAGGTACGGCCGCCATCGGCCCACTTCAAACGACTGAAAGAAGAAACCGTGACATCTTAGTGATGGTTGATCATTTAATTAAGGTAGTTAAAGAGGATTCCCTACAGGCGCGAGCTGTTGAGATAGTGATAACAGCATTATTCAACTGCTATGTCTGTTGACATTGCGTACCTGAATGAATCCATAGCGATCCAAAGTCTAATGTTAAATCCCGCTTTTCACAGAGCTATGCAAAGCCTTCGGAAGTCGCAAAACGCGAACGACAACAGAACATCCTCAGGGCAGTGAGTACGTGGAAAACACCATCCGTACCAAAGGTACGTAACTTAAAGATTGGGATCTGCGTTTAGGAAGCGACTCCTTGCATAGCGAGCCACTGTCAACACTTCGACCGGAGTCCCGTCTTATGAGGATGCTTACGGGTCGCATAATGAGTTTGCCTTCCGACATCGCCCTCTTAGTAGGAAAAATCTTGGCTGATAACACTCCTTAATAGGTCTTACTATTAAAAAATGATCTTATAAAAGTGATTAACGCGGCACGGCTGCAAATGTAAAAAGCACGCGTTCGGGAAGAAAAAGAGGTTTTACGGTGGATAGAGCCGTACAAAATTTTCAACGAAGGAGGTCTCGTGCAAGCAATTTCCTCCTTCACCTTGTAGTCTCACTGTCTCTGGAGCAAGGAAATCCATTACGGACTATCTTGCTCGGCTCTGAAGATCTCTACTCGGCTAATAATAGTACATCACAATAAGATAAAGCCCTACGCATGTACATCCGCAGTAGGCCATGAGCGAAAAATCTATGCGGTGAAGGAGGAAGAGAAGCTACCAGATGGAACTCTTAGGGACAACATCGGGAACGGTGCTTCAGAGAGGAGTGGTGTGAAGTTCATTAAAGTTGTTGTTTAAATCGAACTTGTAGGTCGAAGGAAGGATATAAAAGACGGACGCCGTGCAGAGAAACCAGCTGACGCTGTCTGAGCCCTGTTTCGGGTTCAGTCACTCACTTCACGCTCACATCATTGTCAAATAAAACATTTCAAGCAAACCAACTTCTGAGGTAAGGACTGGAAGGAACTTTAGATATGGGAGTTCAAATACTGCAATATGTTTTACATTCTAAAGGAGGTCAGCATTGTAGTGTCCCTAAATCGAAGACTGTATGAAGCTGGAAAGATTTGGCTTTGCTCTCAATTATAAAATTCGGTTATTGTCATCAAAGTACAAAGGATGTTGCTGCAATTCGCTTAATCTTCTTGTAGATATTAAGAGAGAACAAGTTTTGCGTTTCAACATTATACAAGTTTAAAAGACGTTGCTAAAGTTATATTTGGAAATGTATTTATTCAAAATAGAATGAAGTCAGAATCAGTTTTAGTGGTTGGATTTGATTTATACGACCTTGAGAACCCTTACGAAAATTTCTCCTGGTTTTCGGCGGGACCAGGGTCGTGATTTTAGCAGAATAGTTTTTACTACATAATTTCGCCATGATTGGTCCCGACATTGGCCGAATCGAAAAAGCCAAGGAGGAGAGGAGACTACAGCTTTTAAAGTGGGAGGAATATGACCGAAATTACCAAACTAAACACCACAATAAGAGTCGGAAGAGAGGATCTAGAAATGTTGAATTTGGAGCTGACATAGTGTTTCTTGAGGCTGCATCACGCGGAGACATAGAAGAAGGTAAATATTTTGCCTCCGCAATGTTTATTTCATGCATTTAAACCTTTGATAAGCTGTATAATCATGAGGAAAACTATAATTGACAAAGTTATATTCTAGATAAACAACTTGGCAAAAAACGCCACTGCTTAATTTTTGTATGCTTGATGTTTATATCTTGCGTTAGTATCATGCGTTTTCCCCCATTTTTGTGCAGCTGAAGTTCCATTTTTTTTGCATAATTTTCTCCATAAGTATTTACGAACCGTTGTGTTTTCTGCGGAGTAAGCTATACTTTGCTTGAAAAATATAGAATTTGTGAATTTTTCTTAAGTCCTGCTTTATGAGCCCCCCAATCTTTGCCTAATTTTTCGATTTGTCGGGTAAATTTGCCGTTCATTTTTTTGCATGGGTTATCCTCGCTTTACACATTTTATGCTCGATTATGAGTCATAAACTTTCTCTAATAGGTCCCCTTGCTAGTTCTACTAATTCAGCGCAGTATTTCTTGAGTTTCGGCTACAAGTTTGTTTGTTTGGAAGGTTGAGTATTTTTAAGTTTGGATAGCCTTTTAGGGTGTTATGGAACATTGTTTTTAACTCACAGGACTAGACAGCATTTACGAAGTGGGAATTCTAATGATGGCTCAATTATTGGCACAAATGATGTGTTATGGGTTTGCTTAATTATCTTCCGCTCCATCTCTTGCATCCTCCTACAGTTCGGCAGTGTTTTTTCCCAGATTTTATGCTGGTTCACTGACCTTCTGTGTTGTAAATCGCATCTTTAATTAGGCTCTAATATCTGAAAGGCAAATGCACTTTGCTGGTGTTAAAAATTTGAATTCTTTTAAATAGCAAGGACGCTCTAGCATGTGTTTTATCAGGATCCAGTAGAAATGATTTGATGCATTTGCACGCACATGAAGACACATCACAGTAGGCGTGACGACAACGGCATACGTCATACTTGGAAGTTTAGCTTCTCTACTGTTATCCATGAGCCTTAGCATCAGCAGACAATTTGTGGCTCATGTGCACTCATACAGAACAGACAGCAACGAACCGTCGAACTCGTGATTAATTACTACCTGGGGGTTCCGTTTTCGAGCTCTTTTCGCCGCGCGCCGTAGTCCAAGCGTTTGCTCTCATGGCATCGCGGTGGTCCATACTTAACAATTCGTAATGCCACCAACCGTACGAATTAAGGTAGGCAAAGTATTTGGCACCTGTAGTGCGAAACGGCTTTTCTCATTCGTCATTTCCGTTCGTTCTCTGTCTCTTCAACCGCTCTGGTAAGTGTCATTATTTTGCCAAATTCGTCCTAATTCTACGAAGAACGTTGATTGATTGCATTGACCCAGTTGAGGAGCCTTTATATCACTGATTGCCTAAATTGCACGTTAAAACTTACCAACATGCAATGGTTAAGTTAAAACTGTTAGGAACAAAAGTTGGCGGCTTCAGTGGATAGGGTGGCAACTCATTGTCGTGACGTCAAAACTTTTCTACTGGTGCTCATTATTGCTTAATCAGCCCATCTGGCAGAGGTGGTCAACGAATCGGCTAACCGACTCCTCATTACTCTTAAACTGACATGAGTCTGAAATGTGAACTAAAAACGATGCAGTTGTTTGCTCCCACTGTTCTATTTTTAATGCTGGTGGTTACGATGCGGCTAAATTTTAACTCATGTCGAATATTTCCCATTTGTCTTGATACTTTGTCACTCATGTCTGTGTGCTGTGCGGCAATGCGCGTGCATGCCTCCATGCACACACGCACGCACTCAAGCAAGCATTTACGCACGTGCAAGAAAAGGCACAATCATATCCTCTTATCGATTTTTGGGGTGTGCGTGTGTGGGCGCGCACTTTATTATGAGTTATGCTAATATGCGCGCACAATTTGACGTTGTGTGCGCGTGTGTGATCTCTCCGATAGCCGTCGGTTTAGTGACCTTGATTTGATAAGTGAGGGGGTATGACAAGATTCGTCATTCCCTCGCTCTCTTCGACGATCCCCTCTCCACCACGCCACTCTATTCTGTTCCTCTCCCAATCTTTCCTTTGGTCGAAGTGCAGATAACTTTAACTTTTGAAGAACCACGGATTTAGACATGGTGGATTCACTACAACGTTGGGGTGGTGGTGGCGGTGGTGTGATTTTTTACGAGGGTCCATCGTGTGCGCTGGGAGACTGGAAGAATACATCACTCTGCCCTCTCAAGTGGTTAAGCCAACCGAGTAGAAGCCTCTATTATCTCTCATGCTGATTAGCAGTGATTCATCCACTGGATTAGCACACCTGAAACACATCTGAAGGAGCAGGTGGGAGCTTCTGCATCATTATCATCCTCCAATTACTACCTTCCTATTCCAACTTGTTTAAAACCCCCTGTTGGTGCCGAAATTTCGTCTCCAATGCACACACTGGCATGTACCTATTGCATTGTATCCATTGTCTCCCGGTGTGAGGCAAGATTTGTTGACATAACCTCAACCATATTGGTTTTCTTTTTTTCACACCAAGAGAGGCCCTTCTGTGCTGGCCTTAAAGTTGGCCAGGCGGAGTTTGCCCTCAAAGGGTTAAACTCGGACAGAGGTAGCCCTCGCCCTGTATGACTGTAGTGGCAGTGGAGAGAGAGAGAGAGAGGCGCACTAGGACCGGGAGGTCAGCTCAATTACATTCCGTCTCAAATTTCACCGCGCCAAGGCTGTTTTTTGCCTCATTTTTTGTTTTACCTGACCCCGCACGCACCGGGGCTATCAAAAAAGGAGAATACGTTTAATTACCATTTGATTTTAATAGAGTGATTACAGCATATCTCGTAATATTTTTTTACCAATTTACCACCCAGTCCCTTCCGTCTATACTTTCTAATGACAACTTTCACTCTGACGCACGTCATTCCGTGGCAGTGAGTGCGTAGCTCGGCATTTTTTCCATCTTATCGCCTTCTGAAGGCGAAACTTACAACTTCTTTTTAAAAACCTAAAAGTAGTGTTTCAAAACATGTGATTGACTTATCTCAACTGTTTGCCTGTTCACATTTTTGTAGTAAAAAAACTCATTCGTGCCGGAATTGATCCCGATGTCACCAACGAGGATGGATTGACTGCCCTTCATCAGGTAAACCGACGTTGTTTTTTTTTTTTGTTTTTTGTTTTCCTAAAAGAGCCCATCAGAAAAAGAGGCATTTGGATAACTGGTGCTTGAGGGCGAAAAGTGGCATAAATTTTGAGGTCATGGGAAATATCCCCTCAATTCCTCCCTCCCTCCTCTCTCCCTTGCCTTTAATAACCATACCTTTTCAATTTATGACCACCAAATTTATGACGCCTCTATACCACCTTCTTAACGCAAAAATTAGTAATTTTTTTCCACTATATACTGCCAATAACTCCCAATAAGGCACAAGTCATAAAGGCACAAATCAAAAAGGCGTATTCTGACGATATTTTTACGGTGGTTTTGCACGAAGTCCACCCATTGAATGAAGCCTTCACTATCGCCTTGTTTGCCGAATTCTCGCGGTGGCAGTCGGCCTGCCTCTGGGCACCTCCTGTGGCCATGTTGGTGGTTTGACCTCGTTGCGTGTGTCGGGAGAGGGGCGCCTCACGGTGGGGCAATGAGTGTAACTGGAGGGCCTGGAGGGGCTGGAAGACCAGTGGCTTAGGCCATGACCCTCAACACTAGTGTAGTCAATTTGAGCATTGCTAGGACCCTGCCTAATTTGTTTTGGGCGTTGTCAATGGTTGTCTCTTTGCCTTAACTCCTTTGTTTCGGCCATCATGATGGTGTTCGAGTGTGTGGTGGGGTTGTTTTGAAATTGTTTCCTAAACCTTATCAATGTTTCACAGTGGGTGGATTCTGTTTACAGTCGGTTTTAACTAAGCTCATCCATTAAGGTACGCAATGAAGAAGTGGCGGATGGGAATTGTAAACTCCTTTTGTGGATTTGGATCGCCTTTTGACAACTGCAAAATCGTCATGCCTTTCAAGTTTTGGAGGTTGGTGATGCAAGCACCTCTAGCCACTCTGTTTGGGGAGTTTGATTGTGTATTCCACCTCTCTAGGAGGTGTGCCTTGATCAACTAGATCCACTTTCTGGATCACTCGAAATATTGGAATTGTTGAGATCTGTATCAAGTGCAAAGGAGGCATCGTGTACACATCAAAGCGTGTTGATTCCACCTGCGTTTCCTGTCGAAACTTCAAATGGATGATTGATTTGCGACGAGAATGATCTTGTGCCTTGTAATCCTAAAGAGAAATAATATCCAAATCATTCGTCCTCCATCCCTGCCAGATGCTTCTTTGGGATGCTATGCCACAGGATGGGAAGCGAGCTTACTAGTGCCTTTTCCCTCCTCCTCCTCCTCCCCTCCCTCCGAAGCGTCTCGATTGCCTTAGTTGCGGGAACTCCACATAACCACATCCGCTGGCTGTTCTATAGAGGATGAGAAGGGAAACACAACTAGCTGGAGTGGATAAATGATGTGGGTGGAGCTCAGCCTACTTGCATATGTCACCTGAGTAATTAAGGGGATTTCCTGTTAGACTCGTATCCGAGACAGAGAGAGAGAGAGAGAGATGACGTATGGGTTTTCACGTTGTTTTTCTTCTACTTAGTGTTGCATTGACAACAACGTGGAGATGTGTAACCTCCTGCTGGAGAACAATGCCAACGTTAATGCCAAAGATAATGAGATGTGGACTCCACTTCACGCCGCTGCTACGTGTGGAAACAAGGAACTTTGTGGCATACTTATCAACTGGTAAGTTGTTGTCATTCTACTTTGCCTTCATCTTAACGGAGACCTCCTTGATCACCCAATGATTTGGAGTCATTTTTAAGAAAGGGCAGATTTATTTATTTTCTCACGTGATTTGCTGATGGGTTAGCAAACTCTCTCCACCTCTCAAACTCAACGTCACCAAGCGATATCATTTTTTTTCAATTTTCTCGCACCAGTTATATACCAATCGGATTTTTCAGACTGATGGTTTCCACTGTCTAGCTTCACGATTTATCTCTACTGTGATGATGCAACCGCCATGGCCCAGGACTGTCATTGACGTGTCACTGCGGCTTACATGACCATGGCTTTGGGTGACTCCTTGCATTAGCACACCGATTTGTCACTTTTAAATACTGTCTTGGGCAGTAATGCCGGTGACTGACGGTACTTCCATCTCACCACTAGTAGTAGAGCAGAATTTTTCACCATATATACAGACAATTTTACCTAGACGACTTGACAAAGTGCTTCTAGCATTCTCGAGTGTCATCAATCTGCCTTCAGGAAAACAATAAATTCAATCAAGAATGTACTCAGCAAAATTAAGTCAGCCGTGTGTCGCTCATTATTTTATCGTCTGTAAAGGCGACGGCCTTTTATTTCTTGCACCCTGTTGCACGGAGAAAGGTTTGTTGTAACTGGTGTGTGTTTGATTTTGCATTGTACACAATTAATTGCCCCTTAACGCGCGTAAAAACAAATCCTTTTCGCAATTCAACAAAATGGTCGCTACAATATTCTCGTTGGTTATTAAGGCCGAGGTTTAAACTGACGATTTGTTTTAACGATTCATCGACCTTGCCCCATTGTTGAGCTTGGGAGTTCAGTTTTTGACGCGCTGACATGACGCCTCCTCATTTCAGTTTTATTGCCTTAGAATTGTGCCTATAAAATCAGTTCAAAAACTTCACTTTTTTCACCCATAATAATAGTTAATCACTTATCGTTTTATCATATCTCTCTTGGGTGGGTTGATGATGCCTATTAGCACAGGAATTATTTTAGTGCCGAATAAAATGACCAAAAATCATATCATGTCATGACAAGGCAACCCCGTCGTGCAACAGAGTTGTACAAATGTCAGCCTCTGCAAGAGAGGATGGAATTGTTCTCCTGCTCGCCTGTCTCTGCATTTTTTGGGGTTTCTAATTAAGTACTTTTTTAGGACGAAAAACGAAGTGAATGTTTTGACTCTCCTCATACGTCCGCATGTCGAACATCGAAAGAGGATTTGTTACATCCTTTCAACGCATCGAACCGTGAAACAAAAGTACATTAAGGTCACATTAGTTGAAGGTAATTGACTTGTAGTTGTGGGCTATCTGTCGGCGAGATTTGGTGATGTTCATTTATGCTCACCTGCCAAATGAACTTAGTGACGTCCCATTCATGAATGAAATCGTCCTTACAAGATTGAGAATCTTTGTTTTTTTATTTGAAAATCCAAAGCATTTGGTGGTACCTTTAAGGGGCGCAGACCTTCTGGCACTGAACGTGGACGGAAACATGCCCTACGACCTCTGTGATGATGAGGACACGCTAATCCTCGTTGAAACCGAGATGGCAAAAAGACGTAGGTCAATTTTTACGCGGATCTACGTTCTTTCCTTATTGCCTTCTGCCCGTCTGTATCCACTTCTCCTCAAGTTAATGTAAAAAATGACTTTTGAATTGCCACCGTCTTCCAGGACTGCCCTCCCTAACCAAAAACAATTTTACTTTGCTACAAAATGAATACAGAGGTGACAGGTTTTCAAGAATGGAGAAAAGTGTGGTTCTTCCCATCTTGAGTTGCGAATAAGTGATGAATCAAATTGACATAAGATTATGTTCCACCTTAATTTCGCACATAAAGGCGAGGTTAATGATCCGTCGGTTAGGGGATAGCGTGGAGGGTACAATAAACAGGACATAACAGCAGTTACGACTGCTAATTGGATTACTCTATCTGTCAGGAGTAACTTCACATCATTACTTGCCTACATTTCTTTCTCATTCCTCTTTGCTTATCGCAGAATGCAGGACAAAGTAAAATAAGTTATCATTCTGCAGGTCTGATTATTGTGAGCCTTGATCCGGATTAGGTCATCCTCCTTTTGTCTTTTAGTCTAGTGCCTGTTGTCAGAGTACCTAGTATCCGTGTTTTTGAAGCATCATAAATGAAGCCAAAGTCTGTTTACACAGTAAAGAAGTTGTGCAATCCTTAACTATTTTCTCTCCTGCGAAGATGCACAATGACTGAACCCCCTCCCCCTCCCTCATATACACATTTTCTTCAAGGTTATAAAAGACACCTTTGATAGTGGTAGTTTTTGTTGATTTCACGCACCAACGTAGTGTTTATTATCTGCAACAACTCACACCGATTCGCATTTTTTTTCTGTGCTGTTTCCTTTTAATGTGGACTTCTGTGCTTTTAAATTCCGCTTTAATCTGATTGGTTGCAATGTGCGTAATATCCTATTTCTGATTGGTTGCCAGTGCTTTATCTCAATTATTGTTATCCTTTTCTTGTCATTGAGTAATACACCATGATCACTCGTCATAAACATGCGCTGCCAATGGAGAGACTCTATAAAAATTTTTGCTTAAAGTCTGCCTCTTTACGGTGCACAGGTTATTAGGAGAGCCGATTTAACACAAACTTTTATGGTGAAATATCGGTTATATTTATTTTAGCTTTGAAGCATGAGAAGAGATTTAGCATAGCTTTCTAACTACCACTTAAGATCTAGCATGACGCACTAGTGTGGAATAGGGGTTCAAACCATTTTCAGAAGGTCTCTTGACAAGGCTCAATAAAACTGCATAATCATAGCTTAGCGTTTTGTATGACGTCGCCTTTAATTAACCACTTTCATTTACTCAGATGTGACTCAAAAACAGATAGACGAAATTCGGCTTCTCCCGGAAAAGGAGATGCTCAATGACCTCAAGCGTCGCTACGCTGCAGGTGATGACTTTCAAGCCCTCGATTCACAAGGCGCAGCTCCCGTACGTAAACAAGTTGATTTACCCATCAGCATTCTGTTTTGACTGCAGCATAAATTGAGCAAAGGGTTGTTCAGGTCATAACGGAACTAATAAGTCACTAATAGAAACCACATTTTTCCTACGTCTTGGTTACATTTAAGTGGGAATGGCAATTGAAATAATCAGTACTAGAGTCATTTGCCACTCCAAATGGTAGGCTTGCCTTCAGTGTAGGCTATGAACTACTCTTCTCTCCGTCAAAGTACCTCTCTCTTGTGCTCTACCCAGTGTCAAATGTGGCGTCTTTCGGCTGTTGGTTCAGCGATAAGTAAGGGTGTGAGGTGGGAAGGGAATCAACCGATCACCGGTGTTGGATTGCATGGCGTTTGAGCGGCTCCATTACTGTCGTAATCCCACATCGTAGTGTGATTAGAGCCTTCTATAGACGTAGTCAGACACTCACTGGTTAAAACTGGGATCTCTAATTCGTTCATTTATGCTTTCTGAGATAATGTTACCGCCGCGGATCCTCGTGGAAGTTCCGGACTGACCTGAACACCCATTGACATCATAGAAAAGTATCAAATCCGATGAAGCTTATTATTTCCCTTCTTTTTTTTCCGTAGATTCATATCGCAGCTGCCTGTGGTTATGTGGAGGTGGCTCGCTACTTACTTCAGAATCACGTGGATCCGCAACAGGAGGATCAAGATGGTTGGCAACCCATTCACATTGCCGTGTCTTGGGGACATGTGAGTACGACTTTTTCGCTTTTCCACTATTTGCCCTCGTTGCATCAAACAGCTCCATGTCAGAAAGTCGCTGATGAAGGCATTGCACTTCGCTTCCACCTTTAGCCAAGAAAAAAGCATCATTTGGAATCCTCCCTAAGTGATTTTCTGGCTTCATCCTGCATTCCGGTCAGTTACAGTCGCGATGTTAACATTTGGCGGCTTGTAGGCGTGTCCTTCCGGTTAGCATAAAAGGCGGTATGGATGAGACTGTCGTGGGGGTAAACGTATCTCTAAGCCAAAACCAGCTTAGCCTTCGCCTTCCCTTGATCGGTAAATCCATGCGATCGGGGTCATTATTCGGGTGAAAGGTTTCAGGGCGGGGACAGACGCCAATGAGGCCTGTCAAATGAAGAATATGGCACGCTCTCGTGTAACCACAGCTTGACTGCTGTTGATGCACAATGACCCCATTATTGTGTATTTATAGCACTTTGTTTGACATTGACCCCGCTGTGGATATTGCTCCACGTGAACTCTCGTAATGCCATCGAGAACATCGTCTTTGCAATGCTTTTTGGATTCTCAAAAGAAGAAGAGTTGTAGAGGGCATAAATTCAACTTTCTGCTAGCCATCGGTATCGAAAAACTCGGGCTATAAGTCAGATTTGTAATTGTTGACCCATGCCTGGAATGCTTTACCAGAGGACGGGGTTTCAGGACATTTGCCTTGCTCTGGACATTGGTGCAACTCATAAATTGTGTTTTAAGCGTTCACATGCTTATCGCTACTCTTCGTGTCGTTAAACTTTAACGTCCAACTCATCTAATGTGTTTCTAGTTGCAGTTATTCACACTAAACGCTAGGGAAGAAGGTGATTTTGAGCCGGAGTAGGCTCGTTGCCTGAGAACACCAAAACGGCAAGAGGGGTGGTGTGGTAGAAGTTGAGACTGAGATTCCCACCTAACTTGAGCCATAACCGAAATCAGGGCTTTTAATAAACTGAGCACTGACTTATCACTACAGTGTGATAGGAGGAAGTGGAGGAGAGAATAATGGTGTGGTGGTGCAAAGAAGTGAGAGGATACTTAATTCCTTCCTAAGCCTTGGTGACTGACAGTGCAGCAGGTTAAAACCTGGGAACTATAGTGAATGGAAAGTAGTTAAGGAACACGGGTTAGGCCTACCAACCTATAAAGTGTGCTTTAAAGGCACAAGACCTTCATCAAGGGTAAATTGTTTTCCATGGCCTTAAAACCCAAAGTCATCAAATCGCGATATCACGTTAAATTTAAAACTGAAAGAGTAAATTTAAATGGCTATAACACAATATCCGCTTTAACATCACTGCTCTTGTACTACCCATTGCGCATTGGCACGTGATTATAGGTTTGCGTGGCATTTATGTCTCAGAAAGGCGGCAGCCGACGTGGAGCCAGAGGAAGGTGGGGAAAAGGGGGTGGGGTTA